AATTCTTTGGAGTCTGGAGTTGAATCAGGAACTTTAATTGCTAGCCACAATTAGTCATGTCCAAACAACAGAAAAAAGTTTCTGATTTTTGGATCCTTCGTTTTGGGGAAAAGCTGCTTCATTTTTGTGTGTGTTTGTATGCATGACACACGCCTCCTGTGAGAAGCCCAGGCATCACCCATTTTCCATTTCAACTCAGTGCACGGACTTTGAGAACAGCTATCAAGAGTACGTACTTGGCCTGAAGTCAGAGATTGGGGAGGGGGCAATACCAATTCACAACAGATTATAAAGCAAAAGCCCACTGTGGGTAAATGCAAGGTGGGCGGTGAGTGCCTGCAGCAGGACTCCCAGGAGAAGGGAGTAGCCAGCCCCCCCCTTAATTAATCTGAACGAGTGCAATTGCAGGTAGTTGAAGCACATTATTGGCTTGTACTTGCACAATAGAAACTTGGAAGGCAATTTCAAAGAAAAAGCCTAGAAACAAACTTCAGTTTGTTAACAGGTTTGACAAAGCATCCCAGTTGTCCTTAAGGTATTTTAGAAGAAAATAATTTACTTGTTCTAAAGCCTGAGTACTTCTGGGGAATTATGACTAGTTGCCAGCCATACACTGCAAGGACTTAAATTCCTTTCTTTTTAATGATAAAAATTATACGTGCTTGGTATGAAGAGAAAAAAAATCAAACAAGAGTTGACCAGTTGACTGAAGTTCCCGTCTCACTCTCCATGGCACACCCACTGGGCTGACTAAATACTCTCCTGGTGCCTATGTTTCTAAGCATTTCTGAATCGTATACAAATTTGTCCTTTTGAAAATACAAATAGAGCTGTACTTTACATACTGGTACTTGTTGTGTGACTTGCTTTTTTCACTTAACTCTGAATCCTGGTTATCATTCCACATCAATTCAGATTTACCTAATTCTTTCTTTTCTCTTTATGTTTTACAGAGATTTACTTAATTCTTTTCGGATGCTGTCAAGTAGTCCATTGTATGTTTGTACTTTAACTTGTTTAAACATTCTTCATTGGTGAATGTTTGGGTTTTTTGAGGTTTTCACTGTTCTAAATAACGTTGCAAGGTTTTTGTATCTATTTTTGACTATTTATACATGATTGCTTGTAGAATGGCTTTCTAGAAGAATTGCCGGGCCAAGGAGATGGCTATTTAATGTTTTCATAGGTAGTGCCAAGTCGTGCTCTAAAAAATGGCGTGATTATATTTTTGCCAACCCTGCATCAGAGTGACTGCTTTCCCACTTCTCCATCAATACTGGGTATTGCGAAGTAAAAAAAAATGTACTCATCTAAGAGGTAATTTTAATTTGCACTTATTTTATTATGATTATATTGTGTTAAGGAAGTGAGCCCTTTATTTTAGGTGTTGAAAATACTTTCCCTCTGCGTGCTTGTTTCTTGTATTGCTTTGGTATTTTTTATGTCTTACGGAGATGTAAAATATTTACACAGTAAAAAATTTATTGGTGTTTTTCCTTTATGGCTTCTGGGTTTCCTGTCATGCTTAGGAAGAACTTCCTCAATCATGATTGGAAAAAGTCTTAGCATTGCTTTCATATTTCTAGGGTTTTATTTTTATTTTTTAAAAATATTTTTATTCCCTGGCTGGTGTAGCTCAGTGGATTGAGTGCGGGCCTGCGAACCAGACAATCGAGGTTCGATTCCCAGTCAGGGCACATACTGGGGTTGCAGGCCGGTTCCCTGCAGGCCAGTTTCCAGCAGGGGATGCACGAAAGGCAACCATACATTGATGTTTCTCTCCCTCTCTCCTTCCCTTCCCCTCTAAAGATAAATAAATAAAATCTTTAAAAAAATTTATTTTATTTTATTTTTAGAGAGAGGGGAAGGGAAGGAGAAAGAGAGGGAGAGAAACATAAATGTGTGGTTGCCTCTCACATGGCCCCCACTGGGGACCAGGCCCACAACCCAGGCATGTGCCCCGACGGGGAATCAAACTGTGACCCTTTGGTTCTCAGCCCACGCTCAATCCACTGAGCTACACCAGCCAGGGCTCTATGGTTTTATTTAAAAAAAAATCATAATATCAGACATATTCATAAGAATAAGCATAATCCTTATGTAGGTTATAGAGGACAATAGTAACACAAATGCCAGTAAATTCGGCCCAAGAAATAGTGGTTTAATGGTTTCAGTTTTCATATGTGAGAATATCCTTCTGTTACTTTGGGGAGAGTTTAGGAATAGGAATATAGTTTAAAAAATGTTCTGCATTGCTTGTATTTTCCTATATAGCTATCTGGTTGTCACATCATTTATTAAGTAACTCTTCTTTCCTCCTGGCTTCTTTATTTAATATGTAATGGTATTACATTTCTGATGCGACCACTGTATACAAAATAAAATCACTTCTAGTATCTTGTAGTAAGATACGTAAAATAAGTAACCAAAGTCCTTGATGTTTTCAGACTCAATTACCAAAGCCATCCCCATTTTCTAAAGCTTGCTGAGAAGGGATTAGGAAACTTTTTCTAATTTCATAATGGGAAAACAAACCATCTGACCTCTTTCACCTTAAGCAAGTTATTTAACTTTTCTAAGCCCAGATTCTTGACCTTTAAAATGGAGCTAACAGCCCTAACCAGTGTGGCTCAGTTGGTGAGGTGTCATCCCATGAAGTGAAAGGTAGGCAGTTCAATTCCCGGTCAAGCTTGTGGGTTCCATTCCTGGTTGAGGCAAAGCAACTGATTGATATTTCTCTCTCACATTGATGCTTCTTTCTCTCTTTCTAACGCCCATCCCCTTTCTCTAAAAATAAATAAGCAAATATTTAAAAAATAAATGGAGATAAACAACAACACACTTAATGGGCTGTTGTCAGGACTAAGTGGGCTAAAGGATACAACATACTCAGCCTAGCACTTGGGACTTACAAGCTTTCAATCAATGGTTTTATAGTTGTTATTACCTTATCAGCCTCTCAAATACTTGGCAGGCAGGCTGTCTGTACTCTTCTGGCTTTATGACTGGACCACAACTCTTGCATGGGATTGTTAAACAATTTGCTAGTTTTATGGCCTGATACCGTACCATTATGCTTTGCAATTATGTGAAAATTTGAGATTTCTAAATCACATTGTCATAAATAAATGATAATGATGCCCATCCCTACTACTACAGTAAATGTAGTTTCCTGATTTCGAGAGCCTCTCTCATCACTGCTGAGTGACTGAGACCTGTTTACTGAATGTTGAGACCTGTTTATTGAATCTATTATGTGGTAAAATTCAGTTTTCATGATATTAGGTATGTAAGGCAGTATTAACCACTTTTCCCATTTCATAGCTGATGCAATTGCAGCAGACTAGATATTTCTTGCTTAAAGTTACTGGTGGGAGGTGTAGGGGTATGTGAGGAGGTAGGAGACGATAAAGGGGGGGATATATGGTGATGGAAAGAGACTCGACCTTGGGTGGTGAACACACAATACAATATGCAGATGATGTATTACAGAATTGTACACCTGAAACCTATATAATTTTATTAACCAATGTCACTCCAATAAATTCAATACAACTAAAAAAAAAAACTTAGATTCTACTTGTTTTTAGATCTCTTGGGTCACAGTCTAATAATATCTGCTACTTAAAATATTCCTAAAAGAAACTGTTGGGTGTGAAATGATGATCTGAGTAGATAATCCAAAAAGAAAATGATTACTTTATTTGAAATAGATGAATGAATTATTTTGTGCTATGTTCTATCCCTTAATTTTACACACACACACACACATATATATACATAATCTCTATCTTAACTCCTTCAGGAAAAGCATATGGTATAAGGACACCAATAAGCATTTACAGTATATTAGCAAACAATACATTGGTGATTCACCCTGGATTCATGCCGGGGCTATGAAAGAAGTCAATAAGCATGATATGCATTTCAAGAACTTCAGATCATAAAATTTCCAAACCTCTCAAATTTATAAATTATATTAAATAGAGTATGAACATTTGGCGTGCTCTTCACTCCCCTAATAGCATTGTAGACCCTGTGATTTATCAGTCTTTGGAGAAATGGAACAGAACATTATGTTTCTCAAAGAAAAAGGGTGATATTTAGCTTTTTCTTTTTTTTTTTTTTGAAAAATTTTTTCAAACATACGGCATAGAGTTGTGTACACTGCTCTCTCTTTCTAAAATCCCCTGTCAGTAGTTATGGTACCTTCTTTATTCCCTGATGAGACTTTTCAGGCTTTTCTTCTTATTCTTTTTTTAAAAAAGCGCGATCCGTCAATTTCATTTTTCTTTCTTACTCTTTTGCTATAGACTTAATTTGAAAACGTTAATGCTCATCAGAATTTCGAGGGTCTTTAAGCAAACTGTTCGAATCCACTTCGAATTCCCCCTAGGAATATGAATCCAAGTCTTAAGTGGCTGAAAAGGCAGATTGTGTGACTCTGTTAATAACAGAAGCAACCGGACACCGGTCCGTCCTGCCCCGGGGACCTGCCCCTGCGCGCCGCGGCCTCCTCGGGGCACAAAGATACGACCGGTGGGGAGTGAGGGGGCGCCCAGCCCACCGCCCAGCCGCCTCCTGGAGTACGCAATCGGGCCGATCAGTGGTGTTGCCAGAAGCCGGCCGCTCCCCAGCTTCTCTTCTGCTTATTTTATTAGAAAAGGGGGGGAAAAAAAAAAAGACAGAGAAAGTCCTGCCCCTCCGCCTCCCATTGGCCCCGCCTTCGCATGCGTCACACCATAACGGACCAATGGTAGGGTGCGATACTGCGAGGTGGGCCGGACCCGAGTGCGGAGTGGGCGGTGGGTCGGTGCAGCAACCCCGCCGCGGCTCGGCCTCCATCGCTGAGGTGCCGCTGCTCCCACAGACGCTCGCGAGCCGCTCCCCGCGCTCTCAGCCTCATCTTCCTCCAGTACTCCCGAGACTCTCGCCCGGCTCGGGTCTCGCCTTTGCCTTTTCCTTCCCTCGCTCGCCTCCCACATTGTCTCTGCCTCATTTTCTCTCCTAGTTGAGGAAAAGAAAAAAATCCTCCTCCTTAGGGAGCCCCCTCGCCCTCAGGAAAACAAAACCAGACATGATCCTGGGCTCCCGCTCCTGAGAGACCGGCGGAGCGAGGAGCTGGGACACCAGTGGAGACTGCACGGAAGGCCACTGGAGGGAAGCCCCTGCAGCCCCGCCTCGGTCCCCGCCGCGGCCGGCCCCTCCTCGGCCAGAGCCCGGCGGCCCCCAGCCCTGCGGGCCTCCCGCCGCGTCCCCCCACTTTCCCCGGAGCCGGCCGAACACACCTCCATTGATGGTGTAGCGCATCGGGGGAAGGTAAGAGTCCAACTTGGCCGAGCGTGGCGTCTGCTTGCTTTTCTGGCCCCCGGTCCTGGGCACCGGGCGTGGGGCGTGGGGCGGGCTGGAGGTGGGCGTGGAGTCCTCGTCCGGTGGGAGCCCGAAAGCGAAGGCCGGTGGGGCGCCGCGCACGCCCGGAGGCCGCGGGCGAGCGCCTTCTTCGGGCCGGGCCGGGCCAGGTAACTGTCCCACTCGCCGGCTGACCCCTGCGCCTTCTTGGCTGCTTGTTCACGCTCTCGTTTGACTTGTCTGAGGTGAAACTGTTTCGTGCGACTAAATTACTGGCCCGGAAAAAGGCAGGCAGGGCTGAAACGGTACATTTCTGGAACGCGGATTTGGGGGTCTTAGGGGAGGACTTTTCAGGAACCCCTTTCGCCTTAGGAGATGATTCGCTCTTTGTGCTCTGAAGCTCTACTTCTCCGCTCTGTGGGGCTTTACTAAATTATGAAACCCAGATCACTTGCAGCAGAATAGGATTCTTGTTGCCGTGTTTTAGTTATGCTCTCGGAAAGAGAGTGGCTCTATTTTTATTTTTATTTTTTTTTAAGGTTTTGGAAAGAAGAGAAGGAGTTTTACGCGGGTGTGTGTGTGTGTGTGTGTGTGTGTGTGTGTGTGTGTGTTGAGGGGGAAAGTCCTGCAGGTTTCCTTTGAAACTGGCTGCTTGAGAAGTTGTTAACAGGAAAACAAAATGATTCATTGTTGAATTGTCATTTTCCTCTGCCTCTTTTCCAAGGTTTGCTTACAATTTCTCTGGATTACAGACTTCAGACAGTGATTCGGGCATGATGTGTCCTTGAGAAACTGGGTGCCTTAAACGTTTCAGTATGCGTTGCTATTTTAAGGTACATTTAGAAAGTAGTTTTGTGTGAATCCTGAAATAGCTTTCTCTACAGCAATTTTTAAAATACAATAAAGGTAACTAGTAGAAGAGGCACTTGGTGAATTACAAAACAAACATTTTAATGGAACACAACAAATTCATGCATCATGTGCTTTGATTTGAAACAGTTTTGATACTGCTTTTCGTAGAGAGAGAGACCTTTTTGTCTAGTGTACACTGGATTCTTCAGTCTGTTGGGGGAGGGGAGAGAGGATGGATCTATACAATAATAAAATCATCTTTGGGTAGCTGTTGCCTTCCATGGATTTGCTTGCTGAGTTCATTCTACCGTAAATTATAAACCAGTTTTGATTTTGAGGGCCGAGGCTGGATGGAAGGCTGGCTTCCAGCTCCCGCTGTTGTTGTTGAGGTCGAAGGGAAAAGAGGCAGAAACACACACACAGACACACACACTGCCAGGCTGAGGAGGGCTCATTGTTCTTCCACACACACATTCATTCTCTCTCCCATATTTGGGACTAGGTTTGCACAGACCATCACAGCTCTTTTTGGGAGAGAGGAGAGAAGATGGGGGAAGGGGTGGGCATTTCTTTCTTGGCTTGCTTTCACCTACCTCACGTCTGGCCTTTTCCCTCAACCTTGTAGAGGCAGAAGAGTGCATTGGAAACTAAAGGACTCTCAAAAACATGTTCAGACTCCTCTTCTGCGTCTTCGCTTCTTCCCTTTGCAGCCCTGGTTTCTGCTGCTCTTTCTTATTTTGTATGTAAAGGTAAAATCCCTCTTCATATGTCATGGCCTGATAGCTTTCAAATTGCTCATTGCCATGACTTTTGTTGGGGACAGTGATTTGTTCAGTTGACTCTTGTAGTGAATGTGATGGGGGTCATTTTTTCTTGGTAGAAGTAGGTTGTTTTGGTTAAGATTATTAAGCACATATTTGAGGTTAATATTTAGAAAAGTGTGTTTGGGTGTTTTGACATATTAGTGGTCTGGTGGTTTGATGGGTTTGCTAGCTATTGAGCCATCAGTTTGTTTTGTTTTATTTTATAGATGGGGTGTTGTAAGACAAGATCTGGTTTTCTGCTTTGGGGGCTAGTGTAAAAACTTCCTTTGAACACTGGACAGGGAATGGGCTAAGAGAGTCCATCTGGGGTAAATCAGTTCTGGGCCAAGGATGGAAGCTGGTGTGTATACTGGTGGGTTGCAGAATAGCGCCTTCTACTGGTTAATTGCTTTGAAGGATCCAGATGAAGAGTGGGGGAGGGAATTAATGGCTGAGGCCTAATGATTTTCTTTTGAATGCAGTTTTAGTGTTTTTCTGCAAATGCCACTTCCATGAGCTGCTAGTACAGATGCTTTTTGACAGGCACAGTTACATGGAGGCTTTTTATGTTATTGGCTGTGTCTTGACATTAATTTGTTCTATTATCGGAAGTATTTACACATTGTGATTTCTATGGACTTTGAGTTGATACTCCTTTACCAGAAATTTAGTTTGTCTTGAAATTTTAAATAAAATTGGGGATTTACTTGTGTTTTTGATGTGGGAAATTGTGTATGCATTAGCAGTCTTTAATTAATTAATTAATTAATTTATCTTTAGAGGAGAAGGAGAGAGGGAGAGAAACATCAATGTATGGTTGCCTCTAATGTGTCCCCTGCTGGGAGCTGGCCTGCAGGGAACTTGCTTGCAACCCAGGCATGTGCGCTGACTGGGAATTGAACTGCAATTCTCTGGATCGCAGGCCTGTGTTCAATCCACTGAGCTACACTAGCCAGGGACCATTAGCAGTCTTTAAAAAGTTTTCAGTATCATTAATAAAAAGTCAAATAGACCTACCGTATAGAAGGAAAAATCTGAGCCCTGGACCCAGAGTTTCCTCTTGGATTTAACAGGGGAGGAGCTCACTAAAATCAGTAATTTTGCACATGTAATGGCGTTGCATTGCAATAGTTTTCAGTAGTCATGTAAGCATAAATGCATTGATAGAATGACTTATTCTGTGGATTAGATTTTAAAAATTAGAAGTAAGAGAAAATATGAAACAGGTGTATACATAGATTAATTAATACAGGCCAAATTCCTGGTCAAAGGCTTCTAAACCAATGTGTTGTTTCAGAGATAATCTGCTTGATCAGTGCCTGGATGGGTTTTTATTAGCACACATTTTATCCCATCTCTGTTGTTTTAATGTAATAAACTGTTTAGAGAGGTTTGTAGTGGCAAGGAGAACTCAGTATAGAATAGCTATCTTCTGTTCCAGACTGGCTACTCATAGGAATGTGATTTCTGATTCACTTTGCTTTCAAAAAATAGAGCAAATCTGTAAGTCGTATATTTTTTACAATGAAATATGAACAGTTGAAATGTATTATTTATTCAGTAGGAATAGTCAGTTAATTTCAATCCACTATAGTCTCTGCCAGTGTTTTGTTTCAAGGTAACTAGAGTAGCTAGAACCAATGCAAAACACAAACATAATCCAAACCAAGAAATCTGTGCACCAGTTATTTTTTCAAGTTTGACTTACTGGTCAGGCAAAAAATTTTTAAAAAGTGGGACAGTAACTGGACAGAAATATGCCAGATGCTGTAAAAAGACACATTGAAAAATATCATCTATTAAAAAACCAGTGTATGTTGAATATTATTATGGATTTAGTAAGCACTCATTACTTTTAAAATTAGTTTTGAATCTTTAACATCTTGTTCAAATCTCAGTAATCAAAAAAACATTTAAGTAGTAAAATGAGTTGTATGCACGCAGTTGTTTTGGGGATTGTGTGCTTTCCTACTAACTGCTTTTGGCAGCTTCTCTAGCAATTGATTTAAAGGTTAAGATAGCAGAAGATTCAGATGTTTAAGTGAGTCATTAGTGTAACATAGCTGTGAACTTCATTACACGTACTTGCACACCCTGAAACAATGCACTATTGTCTCACATAATCAGTTTCTGATAATGCTGTGCTCTGGTTGTTCATATGGGTTTTCAGCAACCAGGAATTCCTCTCGAATCAAATGGAAGTCATTGTTAATTACTAGTATCTTGGTAATTATTACAGATTTATAGCTTTGCTTGTGCTATTTAAGTGTGATTTTTGGTGAGCCTGTTGACATGTGCTTGGTTTCTTGTCTAGCAGTGTTCTAGTGTTTCTTAAATAATGAGGAGAAATGAGCATTTATGCATTAAAAATTGTTAAGATTGCTTAAGCCATTTTAATGAGTATTTAATCACAAAACTGAAAAATTCTCAAATACTAACTACATTTAATAGTTTGGAGTTTTGGTTGGAATTTTTATCTGTGTGATTAACTTGGTGTGCCAAGCAATATACATGTCTGTATATTAGGTAACTGGGCCAAGTAGGACAGCTCATGTAAGAACTTTTATTTGGGCCATGGCTACATAGATCAGTTGGTGAGAGCATTGTCCCCAGTGTGCCAAGGTTGCAGATTCAATCCCTGTTCAGGACGCATTACAAGAATCAACCAGTGAATGCATGAAGAAGTGTAACAACAAATCAGTGTTTCTCTCTCCCTCTCTCTCAAATCAATTAAACAAACATACTTTTTGTAAAGTGAACTATTTGTGCCAGTATAAAATTGTTTGTTTTATTTGGTGAAATTTGCCAGTATGTCACTGTAAGCAATACATATAACCATGACATTTTTCCCTATATGGTTAAATATCAAAGTGATATGCTCCCTGATTCATAGAGTACTTGATGTTTAAGGAATCCAAGACAGCCTGTTTGTCTTGGGCTTTTGCATCAGAAGTTAAAGCCATGGATCAGGCCCTAATTTTGAACTAGTTATACATGTGATTTGTAAGGGTTTTGGTTAGGCTTCTTTGGTTGCAAGCAGAAAGTCTCTCAGGTCATCTCAGGTGTTGGGGGAAAAGTGGAACAAAAATGGAATCCTTGAGAGTCAGGCCTCATAGAAAAACAACTCCAGGTTCAGATGGGCCTCGTGGGATGTTGGAATACTTTTCGGGGTCCCATCCAGCTTTAGTGACAAGATAACTTTGTTGCCTCCTTAGCAGAAAGACTTTGTTGAGCCATACCAAGTTTTAGGGCTGTGTATGACTGTCCAGGCTGTGTGTAGCAAAAGGACACCACTTTAAAGGGGACAGTAGTTTT